GGAGCTCAGTCACACGGGAGGAGCTCGGAGTAGAGCCGCTGCTCCTCCACATCGAGAGGAGCCAGTTGAGGTGGCTCGGGCACCTGTTCCGGATGCCTCCTGGGCGCCTCCCTCGGGAGGTGTTCCGGGCATGTCCCACCGGGAGGAGGCCCCGGGGAAGACCCAGGACACGCTGGAGGGACTATGTCTCTCGGCTGGCCTGGGAACGCCTCGGGGTCCCCCCGGAGGAGCTGGAGGACGTGTCTGGGGTGAAGGAAGTCTGGGAGTCCCTGCTTAGGCTGCTGCCCCCGCGACCCGGCCCCGGATAAGCGGACGAAAATGGATGGATGGATGGATAATGGGAGTTGGAGCTGCCAATAGCCGATATAATCACCGATATATTTAGTGATGTAAAAATTCACTATAAATCTTTAATTGTTTAAAAAACTTAGGTTTGGCTCTAGTGGATACTAAATTGGGTTTATTTAGGCAACATTTATTGTTATTCTGCCTCTTTACATCATATTTACATACAGTAGATTGGCCTAATGGCATTTTTGCATCACATTCTAGCTACTAGTGATGGGTATTCCAGTTTTTTTTGGAGAACCGGCTCTTTTGGCACGGCTCACTAAAGCAGCTGGCTCTTTTGGCTCCCAAGCGACTCTTGAGATTGTTTTGTTGCAAGCAGGACTAAACCAAAACTGAACCAGGACTGAAAAAGGGCTAAACCATCACTAAAACAGATTTAAACCATGTGTAAAACAGGACTAAACCAGAACTGAACCAGGACTGAGTGTCGGGACTCGGTCTCTCCCTCACTCGAGCCCAAGATTAGTCCTGGTTTATTCATTTTATGCTGAACTGCAGCCAAATATGCACTTTTTTTTTATCCTATGCACACGCAGATTTCTGAAAGTTTCGTTTTCAGCCGCTGCTGCTGTTAAACTACGGGTCTACAAGCGGCTTGAAGAGAAAAAACGGCTCCCAATAAGAAACATGCTCCCGTTGTTCGCTTCAAAGAGCCGGCTCTAAGAGCCGCTTTGATCGCGACTGACCCATAACTCCTAAGTAGTAAAGAAACTACCACTATTAGCCTTTAGCCGTAAAAACGTGCGCGCCGTGGTAATTAATTATATGCATAAATGTGGATCATTCACACGTCTATTCACAGCTCATTTACATATCAATGCTGGTCCAGTAACAAATATATGGCCAATGTAGTCACTTTACAAAAGGCCAATAGAAAACAGCCTGTTTATGTGCGGGAGCTACAGCAGCAATCGCTAATAACAAATAGCCAAAACTATCTTCAGAGTCGATGTATTTCCAACACTCACCACTCACACAGGCTCCTCCTCACATCACAAGTCTGCACTAATAAAAGTCCTTTTAATCCAGACTCAAACCAATTGTCCGTAAAAAGAATATAATCTCAGTGTTGCACACGGCCGCGGGTGTAAACAATAGCACATAAGTGAAGTGACGTGACTCTGGGGGTGTGTTCAGGGACAGTACAGACACAGACACAGACAAATTACACCGCAGATAAATACTGATGCGGAGCCACATATTAGGACATTTATCTGTCTGTAAATTGGATTAAATGAACAAAATGTAGAGAGTCTAAGCTTCATAACGAGGTATAACATGCCCACGTGAAATATCAGCCGATAGCCGATATGTCTCCAGGTGCCCATATCGGCCAATAATATCGGCCAGCCGATATATCGGCCGAGCTCTAATGTAGAGCAAGTTAATATAAAAAAAATAAGATGAAGACCAAAATGACGAGGCACACTGCAGCATTTACAGAGAGAGGCAACAATTTCTCAGTGTAAAGTCAAATAAACAGAAGCACCTCCATGAACACTTCGTATTTGGAATGCGTTAGAACAGCTAGCGGGTTATATATATATATATATATATATATATATATATATATATATATATATATATATATATACACACACACACACATATATATACAGTCCAACTGACTGAGGCTGCCAGTCTGCGCCATCCAACTACCACCAACACACACAACACATTTACAGTAATGTGGGTGTAATGCCTTCCCTCAGACATAACAAAAGTTTAGCCACTGCGCCCCACTGTGGCACCAGGTATTACCAGCACTGTGATATTATGTTACATCAAATACTGTTTTTAACACATCGGAGTGTTTGTCTATACAAGAATTTTATTTTTATAGTCATTTTATGGATCTTTTAAGGATGAGCTTTTAATCATGATAAATTGCTCTCTTCAGACAGGGGTCTTTCCCACTGCCTTCACAGTGGTGAGGCCCCTGCTAAAGAAGAGCAAATTCGATTTTAATGATTTTATCAAATACCAACCAGTGTCAAACTTACCATAAAATTTGAGAAAATTGATAAACTTGTTTTTATCCAAGTAAATGATTTTTAGATGATCACAACATTTTAGAAAAAAAACAACACAGCACCGAGATTGCATTGGCAAAGATTTTAAATTATTTTAGACTAAACTGCAATTCACAAAAGGTGACTGTGTTGATTCTACTGGATCTATACACACAGTAGACCACACTATTATTTTAACTCAACTAAAATACCTTAGCCTTTCTAGTGCTGTTCACCAATGATTCACATCCTATCTCACAGACAGAACATTTATGGTGTAGAGACATGCTCCTCCAGGGTCCATAAAATCACATGTGGTGCCCCAGGGCTCCATTTTAGGCCCTGTGCTTTTTAACTTGTACATGCTCCCTCTTGGTGGTGTCATCAAGAGACATGAATTTAACTTCCAATAGCTATGCAGATGGTACGCAGCTTTACATCTTCATGTCTACTGATGACACAAGCCAATGGATGCTCTTTTTAACTGCATTCTAGAAATCAAATCCTAGATGGCAGAACACTTTCTCAAGCTTAACCAGGACAAAACTGAGGTTTTAGTCATTTTTAGTGATTGGTCCTGTGAGACCATCTCCACAAGTGAAAAAACAGTTGCATCATTTTTGACTCTGAGCTGACTTTTATCCCACACATTAAGACAAGGCAAACACAGAGACACTGATGCATGCTTTTATCACCAATCGAATAGATTACTGCGATGCCCTGCTGTCTGGTCTTCCCAAAAAGAGTATTTCAGGTTTGCAATTATTACAAAATTCACCAGCACGTGTCCTGACTAGAACCAGAGGGCGGGACCACATCACACTGGTTTTAAAATCACTGTATTGGTTCCCTGTGAGTTTCAGGATCAATTTTAAAGTTCTTTTACTGTTTTTTAAATGTATTAATGTTCTTGGGCCTTCTTATCTTTCAGAACTGCTTTTACCCTACGAAACCTCGTGGACCCTGTGATGATCCAGCAGCAGGCTCCTAGTCATTCCAGAACCATAGGGCCACAGAGAACATTCCTGATGATTCCTGAAGATCAGGCTCAAAACCCACCAATTTGGTTTAAAGTTTGACTGATCGATTGATAATCTCCCAGTACTACCCATGTCCAGGCCTGCTTACCTTAACTGATGAGATCAGGCTTGCTGTGACAAGGCTTGGCTAAGACTCAGAAATCAGTGGATGGGCCCAGGTATTTCATGTTTCAAAAAAGGGTACATATCTAACAATATAGTAATATACTACAGCATATTAAATATAGTACACAATCCCTAAGGATCTCGAGGTTGTTACAATGTGGAGTTGCTTATAACAGATAAGAACTAAAAATCTAAGATAGACTTTGACAAACACAGTATATATATATATATATATATATATATATATATATATATATATATATATATATATATATATATATATATATATATATATATATATATATATACACAGTATATACTCTATTTCAGATCTAGGGCACTGGTCACCCAGTTTAAACATTGGAAAATCAGTCCCCACTCAGATCAAGTTTAGTTCGAGTGTGCTGTGTGTGAGTGACTGACAGTTTGCACCAAGGTTGCTTACTACCACAGGGTATAGAGTGAATGAATAATGCACTATAAAGCTTCGGGTGTCTTTAAAGGTGCTATATAAATCCAATGTGTTATTATTATTACAAATGTGGACTTACAGTTTCAAGTTCATAAATCATCCGTCAACAAAATAATGAAAATTATGAACATAAAGACTTAAATAATAACAAAGCTCTTTGTTATGAAAATTGAAAGCAACTATAGGCCAAAATCTGCCATGCCTTAGAAATGTAATTGATTCAGAATAAATTAAAGGTATTATAATAACTCAATGAAACGTTACAAAAGTTAATTAGCTGGTCATACTGTATGACCATTGTAGCAATTTGTAGTTTTCTGAGGCATAGAAAAGACCGTTTGCCTTCACTTGAGAGACTTATAAATGAAATATTAGAGTGTACATATTTTCTTGACTTTTGACCGTTATTTCTATTTCTCTTCATCCATTAAAGAATATCAATGAATTTCTTGAGAGTGAATGGCTCCATTTGCATATTGGCTTTTTAACCTCTTTGCCTGGTAGTGTACTCCCACTCTATAATTGCATCTTATGTAGCCTATTTTATGTTCCGTGACAACAGTAGGTCACACAAATAAACAAACACAATGTCTTCCAGCATGCATACATATTACACAGTACATACCAAAAGATACACATACTGACCTCACCGTACTACCATTTCTTCTGCTGTAATTAAGTTTGTAAGTTTTGCAATCATATAGTAAGAATGGAATACGTGATATTTCGCCTTAATCTATTGCTATTATTTAAATTAAGTTTAAATTTAAGTTTTAATTTAACCTGTCTGGAAGAACATCAGTATCGTAGACTCTTGAAAGGAAGATCCACAAAATAGCAATGCTATTTCATTGCGGTTCTCTCTGTTGGTGATTTGTAAAACGAAACAATGAGGAGCAGTATATAAAATCATTCGTTCTGACTATTTGTCAAAGAAAACTAATACTTTTTGATGTAGTCTACTTAAAATTTACTACACACATTTTGGAAGAATTATTTTGAAAAGGGAAAAGGATCCAACCGGAAGCATGTGCCGTTGACGTCACCGAGGTGAAAACAAAAACAACTTTGCTCTTGCTTCATCTGCCTCGGTGTTTCTTGATGGCTTCGTGACTTTTTCAGAACACCGCGTTCGTCCAGAAAGTCTCGTATTACATGGTAAGATTTTATGTCATTTTTGTTAAGTTAAATTTGGACTATTGTTGTCTCGCGTTGTTAGTGCTACTATGTGCTAGCTGAGTTGCTATGGCTAAGCACAATTATAGTGTTCTTGTCTTCGGCTGAGGCTGTAGTGGTACTGTTGTATGTTTGAACTACAATGTCAATTTTTTCCTCATAGGTAATACTTGAGTGTACCCGTGACGTTTCAGTTATCAGCCATGGCTCAGCAGAGAGGAGTAAACAGCCTACAGTTCAACCAGGACCAGAGTAGGTTCATCAGTTTAAACTCCATATAGCTCCAGGACTAGGACTAGATGGTTAATGACAGTCTTTTGTATTTTATCACGATTAGGTTGTTTCTGTTGTGCAATGGAGACAGGAGTAAGAATTTATAATGTGGAGCCCCTGATGGAGAAGGGTCATCTGGGTAACTATATTTTTACAGGTAAATGGCTAAAATAACGTCAATGACAAAATGTGTGTTTTTAGATCATGAACAGGTGGGCAGTGTTGCCCTGTGTTCCATGCTGCATCGCTCCAACTTACTGGCAATTGTAGGAGGAGGAGTCAGTCCAAAATTTTCTGAAATATCTGGTAATCTTTTCATTTTGTCTTTCTTTGTATAGTAATACTGGATACATTAACATTATAGATTAACTGGTTTTATAATTATAATTTTCTATTTAGTACTTATTTGGGATGATGCCAGAGAATCACGTGATCCTAAGGACAAGCTTGTGCTGGAGTTTACCTTCACTAAACCTGTATTAGCTGTCCGGATGAGGCATGACAAGTAAGTTGAAAATGTGACACTCATTGCTCACTTTACTTTTTTTCAATATTTTTTTTGTCCTTTTCAGGATTATTATTGTACTGAAAAACAGGATATATGTGTACACATTTCCAGACAATCCAGTCAAGCTTTTTGAGTTTGACACCAGAGATAACCCTAAAGGTTGAGGAAAAATTATTACATTATTATTACAAAATTATGTAATCCACTTAAAATAAGTAATCATAAAACTTCGTTCAGGTTTGTGTGACTTGTGTCCTAGTCCAGAGAAACAACTCTTGGTTTTCCCTGGGCACAAATGTGGCAGTCTCCAGTTAGTTGTAAGTTTGTCAATTATTGCATCATTATGATGCTGTGATGGTGAAAAATATGCGGATTTTTCAGGATCTGTCCAACACAAAGCCTGGGACATCCTCTGCCCCATTCACAATAAATGCGCACCAAAGTGAGATTGCCTGTGTTGCACTGAATCAACCAGGAAGTGTGGCAGCGTCAGCATCTCGTAAAGGAACCCTAATCCGTCTGTTTGATACAACAACTAGAGACAAACTTGTAGAGCTGCGCAGAGGAACTGACCCAGCTACTCTCTACTGGTAACCATTGTTATTGGAAGTTTTGTCATGTTTCTGTAAGCCTTTAAAGTTTGTGCTTGTTGTTATTTTTTAGCATCAATTTCAGTCACGACTCTTCATTTCTGTGTGCCTCAAGTGACAAAGGAACAGTGCATATCTTTGCTCTTAAAGACACCAAACTTAATAGGCGTTCTGCGTAAGTCTGCCATATGCTATTTTGTGTGTTTCTTGAAGAGTGTTTCTGAAATCACAAATTTGTTGTTCTTTATACAGGTTAGCACGGGTTGGAAAGGTAGGCCCTGTCATTGGTCAGTATGTAGACAGTCAGTGGTCACTGGCCAGTTTTACTGTACCAGCTGAATGTGCCTGTATCTGTGCCTTTGGGAAAAATACATCAAAGAATGTGAACTCTGTTATTGGTGAGAACAATTCTTAAAAGGTAAATGAAAAACCACTCATGAACTTAATTTAAAGTTGTCCTTCTTATCTCCTTTAGCTATTTGTGTTGATGGCACCTTCCACAAATATGTTTTCACTCCTGATGGAAACTGTAATCGAGAAGCTTTCGATGTTTACCTTGATATATGTGATGATGATGATTTCTAAGTTTTAATGAAAAGAAAATTGTTGCCTGTCTATTAATTGTGAATTATACTGTTGTAATCTGTCATGTATTCAGAGTTGGTCATCATATCACTTCTGTTGTGTATAAATGTGTCATTGCCATCTGTTCTGTATATTGTAATTTATCGACAGCACACAACAAATTATGACCTTTAGTGTGCAATAAGAGTACAACATTAGAAATGACCAATTAGTTATAAATAAAGTTATTCTTAAGGGAAAGTTTCAAGGTTGTTTGAAAAATTATTTACTTTTACTAAAAAGTTACAAAAGTTGAAGTTAAGACTTAAAATGCTCATGTTTTGGCTGTCTACAGAATTGAGGCCAGGTCTCTCTTCAGCTAATCCATAATCCCCAAACTCACAAAAAGCCACAGCATCAGAAATTTACTATCAATGCTTAAGGTTCAACACATTAATATCCACATGGCGACAAAATGCTCACCTTGGCTTTAAGCATGCCATACTTGATGTACAGCATATCACGATTCTGAGGAAGTCCTTTCCAACTGTTTAGTAATCTGTGCATAAAGCCCTTGGGTAAATCAGAAAACCACCTTTTCCATTTTGTGACTTCTCAAATGGAACTATATATGTTGTATACTACTGGCAGCAGCAATATGGATGAAGAGGCTTGCCTAATGAAACTGGTGGCATACGCTAGATCCAGTGTTAAAAACTAGCAACCCAATTAAGCTGTCTAATGATTATAATAGTGTGTTTTTGCCATACAGGAACAAATAAATTAAGATGATCCTATACTTAAAAATATGATACATTTAGATATAAGATGGCAATTAATGAAAACTCACACAAGTTGGCAAGAATAAATGATAATAAACCATACGCCCAAAGAGGCAACCATGACTTTTTTTATTGACCAACAGCCTCTCCTAGTGGCCAAATGTATAAGACAACATCATATACCTATGTACACAAAAAGGGAACGTAAATGTTGTTTCATGTAACAGGTCAAGTTGCCCAATTAAAGCAATTGTAGATACATCATGTTCAAGAAAACAATTGAAGGAAGATTTACCATTAGATGAATTAGGCCTATAGTAATAAAAACAAATAATCCTAATCATTGTGAAACTGGAAGACTAAATAGCTCCATAGTCTCTAATACAAGTGATAGATGATCCATAAATGAATTAACAGAAACGCGGAGAATACGGGCTTCGTCTGCACTCCACCTCCTGGAACAAAGGAAATATAATACATATAATTCATGGCAATATTGCAGTTTAAATGACTGTTAGGTTTCTTACACAGACAGGGTATTGCCTTCCACAGTTATCTCTTTGGTGATGCCTCCTTTGCGGGGCTCCTTGTCTGGCGACAGAGACCGCAGAGCGATAATCGCTTCATGACTAGATGGGAAGGGAACATCCAGAGAACTGTGAAGCAGTCAAGAAAATGTACCTTTAACATTGTAAATGAGTATAAGCCAACACAAAAGCAAAAGTGCTGATATGGGTAGTTATATGCGTGTCAAACAGCAGCACGTGGTGGATATAGCAACTTTTTGATAAAAATCATTCAAGGATACAATTTTAGGTTTCCTGTAGCCGGGTTGTCCAAAGGCTCATGTTGTTGCATTGTTGTCGCCATTTGAGTTTTAAAGAAAGTAAATAAACGTCACCGGATGTAGTTTTTTTTTTTTTTTTTTTTTTTGGCATGGTTTGCTTGAGCTGGACGCATGGTGCCCTCCTGCGGCGGATTATCGCCAGTGTGCCGTGTAATGAAGTATCCGATATTAATAGCATATTAGCAGCATAAAAATAAATATTGCAATATCCCAAAATACATATTTATACACAGTTACACTTTGGTTGAACAAGAAAAGATTATACGATCTTCTACACCATGGTGATGCACAACCTGTGCCAGATTTATTCGAAGCAACGACATTATATTGAGGATTTTCTTTTAGGTTATGTTTTAAAATAAGTGGCAGAGTGTTGTTTTGCCACCAGGGAGAATCCAACAGACTGTCAGAGTCAGCTGTGCGCGCCCACTTTGTGTCGCTTCGCTTCATTTCTCAGAAGTGGACACTGAACGGCTTCATCCTTGCTCGCAGATCCTCTACTCGCTCTTTGTGTCAATTTGTCGAACGGAAAAGGTGAGTGGTTTATTTATTTATTTATTAGTTAACCTACAACTGATGATAACTTCTCGTCTACTTTTTTATTGGTTTACGCTTTCTTGGCTAATCATTTTTGGACACACCTAAACTCGTGTCTATGTCAACTCTTAAAAAAATAATTATAGGCAACTTTACGTGGCCAGGGGTCCGTCCATGGCTGGGTCCAAGTGCACGGGGACGCTCAGAGATCTGCAGCTCGCTCTTCAGCTAAAAATTGAGGAGCTGCGGCAGCGAGATGCGCTTATTGACGAGCTCGAGCTGGAGTTGGACACCAAGGACGATCTGATCCGACAGCTGCAGATAGAGCTGGACAGACATCGGAAACTGTCGCCGACGCCGTACACTTGCGGCAACTCTGGTGGTACAGCAAAGTTATAGATATCACATACATCTAGCCCTAGGCTAAGTTACAAAATATCTATAGCCTACCTCATGTAATCAATTCTGCATTTTACTGACAGGGACCTCACTACCATCCCCAGTGATTCCAGATGAGCCTCAGCGCACAAAAAGACAGGCTATATCTGCAGAGCCCACTGCCCTAGACCCCTCTCAACTATCAGATGTAACTTTGACCAGTTACTGCAAGACAAAGGAGTGAGTATGAAAACAAGTGGATTTTAACATAGAAGAAAAATGTGGGTCCTAATTTTGTATGCTTATGCAGATCCAGGGAGCTGATCCAAAGAGCTCTAATGGACAACGACTTCATGAAACACCTGGAACATGGACAGGTAGCCTACATGTGGAACATATGGTTAATACAATCCTATTTTGCATAATTTAAAGTCAGTGTTAACTAACTTGACCTAATCCTTTTTGAGAACAGATTGTTACAATCATGGACTGCATGTATCCCACAAGTGTGGCCAAGGGCTGCTGTGTTATCCAAGAGGGAGATGATGGTTCTACTGTATATGTCTTAGAGGGTAGGTCTTAATTCATAATTTTGTCCCTATTCATGGGTTTCATCTTATGTACAACATTTGTTTTAAACTGATGTTGATGTTCTTGATGTGTTGCCTCAGAAGGTTATAGTTTTAGCACATTCACACGACCTCCTGGCAAATACTGATATAGATGTATTGTAATGTACAATGTAATAAAAAAAAAAAAAATAAAAAATATATATATATATATATATATATATATTTTTTTTTAGAGATTTAGAGATTAATCTTTCAGTGTCTCATTTACAGATCAGACCTGCTTAATAGTTAGCAACAAAAACAACAGGTGTGTCTGTCACAACTCTAAGTAAAGTCAAGTCAAGTTATGTAACCAGAAACCAGCTGAAGTTGACAATATTGTAAGTACAAACTTACTTCATGGTAACACTGCATGTTGTATGTTTTCAGAGGGGATGGTTGAGGTGACAAAACAAGGAAAGAAACTGTGTAGAATTGGTCCAGAAAAGGTGTTTGGAGAACTAGCCATTCTGTACAACTGCACGCGAACTGCTACTGTCACAGGTACAATGCACACGAGGAGTAAACATAAAGTTTGTGCTATCAGCATTCATTTTAATCTGACAAGACAAATGCACAGGAAGATTATGTTACCCCATCATGTTAGTTCAACTAACTAGTCTTTTGTGTCCAATGCACTTTTCAGCATAAGGTTTGAGTTTACTTGGTAAATTAAATTTCATATATTTACATATAATGTCACATTATTGATTGATTGTATGTTTAGCAATATTTATTATTTACAGAAATGATTTGTACGATTGTCCTTAAATTGAACACCACAACTAAAATTGTGTCTGTGGCAGTACAAGATTATATGCCCTATAAAAACTTGGCAAAACAAGTGGAATTTGGGTTATTGAATTAAAAAAAAAATAGTATGAGCCCAAATGTAGCTCAAATGATTGATGGTACATGTACTAATTGCACAGAAGGTGTTGTGATATGGTGCAAAAAGGCCATCAGAGAAAGCGTTGCTCAGCTGTCAGGAGAATATTTGTGGGAATGCAAATCGTTAGGAGGTGTAAAGGCTAAATATCAATAAAGACAAGCATCAGGACTTTGCAGAGCTGCTCCTTTGATGGTGTGCTATGAGCTGTTTCACAGATACACAGTTGCAAACCACTTTTGAAATGACATTTTTTACAAAGAGAGATATGAGTCAGTTTCATCTGTGTGCAGGTGGCTGAGTAAATTGTTATTGATTGAGCCTGTCTTGTTATTTCCCTTAAGTTACTTTGGGAAGACCTCAACACATCTAAAACACAAACATAGTCACTGCTCAGCCCATGACAGACGTGCTCCTTCTTTTTGAATAATACCTTTAATTCATGTAATTTGACGGCAATGATTTGCTGTATGTTGCACAAGGAGGACTTGTACAACAAAAATCAGGCACAGTTGGTTTATTTTAATGGTTTTAGGTGTGTAAAAATGCTCAAGCTGCATCCAGCATTGTTCAAGTATGTAAAAACCCAAACATGTTTTTGCCACAGTTAGAGAAATCAAGTGTATGACTGGGCAATAAACAAAGACACATTATTGGTTTTACTGCAAAAACAACACTGGACCTAGGACTCAACCCTGAGAAACATCCTACAGCAACAGAATGGCTTCAGACACTACCCTATTATACTAGTATATGTTCAGATTGTTGGAAAACCATCCAGGGCAGTCTCAAACTCATGATTCAATCTGTATAGTAACAATTTATCGTCTTTTTACCTTCTTTTATCCTCTTCTTTTCAGCTCTGACTGATATCAAACTTTGGGCTATCGATCGTCAGATTTTTCAGACAATAATGATGCGCACCGGTCTCATCAAACATTCTCAGTATACTGACTTCCTGCGCAGGTATACCCTTCTCCAAAGCTAGTGCATTTCCATATTTATTCATAATTTTTCAGCATCACTTTTTTCCCTTAGCGTTCCCTCCTTTCAAACTCTCCCTGAAGATGTACTCAGTAAACTTGCTGATGTCTTAGAGGAGGTGCTTTAAAGTTTTAACTGCATATTTTCTGAGCAATTACAAGCCTTTTTTACTTGGTATTGACATACAAATCTGTTTTCTCACAGACTCATTACAATGACAGTGATTACATTATCCGCCAGGGAGCCACTGGAGACACATTCTTCATCATCAGTGAAGGACAGGTGGGTAAGAAGGAAAGCAGAATAAACGTGGATCATGAGAATAAACAGGATGATAATGCATGAAGAAGAAGATATAACCCATGAGAAAGCCAAACCAACATTGTTATTAGGAAGAATATATTTCTGCTTTTCACAGGTGAAAGTGTCCCAGCAAAACTCGAATGAGGAGCAGGTGATGGAGAAGATTATGTCCAAAGGAGAGTGGTTTGGGGAGCAGGCTCTGAAAGGGTGAATTGTTTGTCTTGTACTTTGTGTAACTGTCCAACATCAGTCAAGGAATGTTCTTTTTCACAACTTAATTTTCTATATGGTTCATTTCTAGAAAAGGTCCTAAAGGCCATATATTACCCAGAATTGCCTCTTTTGTGAGTTGAGCCATGTTAGCATGTTGTTTCCATCTCAGAAACATACTTAGAGTTATGTTTTGTTTCCTAATCCTTTATGATTATTCGATCTACATCTCCAAAGTTCAAAATGCTCTGTTCCACCTTGTGATGTCATGAAGTGGTATTTTACAACCTTTACCTTAAATTCATTAGAATGGCAATTCCAGGGCTTAAATTTTCCAAATTATTCTAGTGAAGGTTTATAAAGTTAAAAAACACAGTGGAGCATTCTTGTATTACCACATGACATCAACGTGGAAAACTAAAAAAAAAAGCCTAACTATGCAGGATTTATGTGTTATGAAACAAAACACAACTCCAGGGTTATTTGTGATGAGGAAACATAACAGATCAGAAAACAGTGCATATGAGCTCTTTCCTTTAATCCTCACCATCCTTTTAAGAGAAATATTCACTGGCATCTTTATGCATTTCCAAACCATTGTCATTTTACCTCATTATAAGTACAACACATTACTGCAACAGCTTAATTTGTTTTATTACAGATCTTTTTATAAAGTTATATAATTCCTTACATGGCTACTTACTTTTTTGTTATTGTTTACAGTGAAGATGTGCGCACAGCCAGTGTTACAGCTGTAGGGGATGTCACCTGTCTCGTCATTGACCGAGAGTGAGCCAGATTCATTATAATCTTCAAACACCGTAGCCCTTTATTCCATCATTTCTGTACTTGGGTAGATGTTGTGGTTGTGTCCTAGGTCTTTCAAACAGCTCATTGGAGGACTGGATAGTGTCAACAATAAACAGTATGACAGCGATGAACTCAAGGCCAAGTGAGTCACTTTTAACTAGATATAGTTAATAGTTTAAAGGCATTTTGTGTTATAACATATATATGTTTTTTAATTTATTGATTTACATAGATTACAGGCTGAGACAGATTTCTTCTCCAGTGTGTCCCTCAATGATTTTAATATTATCTGTACTTTGGGGGTAGGAGGATTCAGTCGTGTGGAGCTGGTGTGTAAGAGAATAAAATTAACCAATATTTTGGTGTGTAAAAAACCCTTCAATAACAAATATTTTGTTCGCAGGTGCAGCTAAAGAGTGACCCAAATCGATCATTTGCCCTGAAGGTGTTGAAGAAGAGACACATCCTGGACACAAGTCAGCAGGGTCACATCCTGTCAGAGCGCCGCATTATGATTGAGGCTCATAGTCCATTCATTATTAGGTGAGGCATTTGTAGGACTCAAAGTGTGTTTATTTATGTATTGAGAGTAAACTGTTGTTGCATATGTGTGTGTGTGTGTATATATATATATATATAATTCCCTTCACTGACTTATGAAAACAAAGGTAATGTCTGAAATCTAGGTCTGGTATTCTTCAAATTCAATTGCATTGGGGAGAAGGAAGGTTATTTTTTTAATTGTTTTACTGTAATATAATGTCTCTTATTCCTTCTGATTACAGTAGGGAGAGACCATTTGTCTCACTCCTAATTCACAATTCTCCCTTTAGGCTGTACCGCACATTTAGGGACAGCAAATATCTCTACATGCTGCTGGAGGTGTGTCTTGGGGGAGAGCTATGGACTCTGCTGAGAGACAGGCGAGTTTTCTCACTGTGATTTTTTTCAGTGACTGTACAAAGTCATTAAGTGTGGTATTTACCCTCATCACAGGGGTTTATTTGATGACAGCACCACACGCTTCTACACAGGCTGCGTTATTGAGGCGCTGGCCTTTCTGCACTCCAGAGGCATCATCTACAGAGACCTGAAGCCAGAAAACATCATCCTGGATCACAGGGGATATGCCAAACTGGTGAGAACAGCTTGTCTATCACCACAAGCATAATCGAGATACTATGTGCATTTGTGTAACTGAACATTGACTCTATTAGGCAGATTTTGGCTTCGCTAAGAAAGTGGGTTTGGGTAAAAAGACATGGACCTTCTGTGGAACCCCAGAGTATGTCGCACCTGAGATCATACTGAACAAAGGTCATGACAGTTCGGCCGACTGCTGGTCTTTAGGGATACTCATCTATGAGCTGCTCAGTGGAAGGTATGCATTCATTTAATTCCGGCTAAATCATGGATTATTAGTGAAGGTGTTAAAAAACAAAGAACTCACCTAAATTTTGAGTCTTTGAGTTTTGATTATGGTATCAAAACTCTGATTTCAGAATAATAATGACAGCATTTTTGCATTAATTTGCACTGATTCCATGTAAATTTTGGGCTAAAATTGATCAATTCTAGTTGGACAGTAGAGGGCAGCACTGTACCTCTGCACCCATTCTATCAAACCCTACCCACAAATTATGATTGTAGCTGTAAGAAGAAGTGACAGGTGAATTTTTCCTTTCAGAAACTGCACTTGGTGTGCCAAAGTATTACAACCAGTCATGAGTGCATTAAAAGTGCGGTACCTACTTGTCTCCACTGAGATGTTATTGTTATTGCTTTGTTTAGAATGTTCCACAGTATAGATTAAACCTATCAGATAAGCAGGTTACAGCATTGCGCTACATTACAATTCAGATCTGTGGGGAGTCACCTCTATTCTCATAAGGAATTTGTATTTTTGAACAAGAGAAACACATATACTAGTATATGTTTAATGCCATACCATGGAACATTCCAGGCAAAGCAGTAACATCTCCATGGAGACAAATAGGTAGTGGACTCTCCATCAGAAAAATGTGCAATGCATCTTTAAGTGTCCATAGTGGTCAGTGTTTTTTTCATGTCTATTCAAAAAAGACAAATTTAAATAATTTCGTTGTGTGGAAGACTTCATAGAAGTCATAGAAAGTCAAAGATGTCATGACTTGTGAAGTGATAAGCAACTTTTACAGGGGCAGCTGCCCTGATTCAAACTTGCTAAACAGGTAATAGCAATTCTTCGCCGCCCCAAAACTAAACCTTTCAGTTTTCACCTCTTGTCCTGTAAATAACGAGAAGCACTGACTTCATTCTTTGTCATTAGTGAATTAAAGTAGAGCTATCATTATGGATTATTTTAGGCTCACAGGATTTGTTATAAATTCACCTTGCTTGCTATTTCAAGTGGTTACATCAGAGTGCACATCACTTAATGATGTTCTGTGTATTTTACCAGTCCTCCATTTTCAGGCTCTGACCCCATGAAGACCTATAACATCATACTCAGAGGCATCGACATGATTGAGTTCCCCAAAAAAATCACCAAGAGTGCTGCTAACCTCATCAAACGTTTATGCAGGTTAGACTTAAGTTAGGTTACACTTTGACATCTGGCTATGTCTGGAATTTGTGTGTATTGCATTCTTTTCATCTCCAGTACCTCTAACATTATTCTTATTGGGTTGTCATTCTACAAGTGACATTGATTTTGTTAGAGTTGTGTTGTTAATGTTTTAAAGAACATAATACTTCTTGATATATGTGTGTTTTGACAGAGATAACCCATCAGAAAGACTGGGCAATCAGAAAAATGGCATTAAAGACATTCAGAAACACAAGTAAGATCTCCAGCCAGTGTTCTTTCTCTCTGCAAACTGCAGTCATGGCAACAGTTTGTTCTGTCCTTCAGATGGTTTGAAGGCTTCAATTGGGAAGGCCTTCGTCAGGGAACAATAGACTCTCCATTTACACCTTCAGTGGGTATCCTTGAGTGTCCTGGAGGTCCCCTGTGCAGAGGGCAGCTGTAACTCTGTATTTGTTTCTTGCAGGTGGAGGGGCCGCTAGACAACAGCAACTTTGACTATTTCCCAGAGGACACTGAAGAGCCTCCTGCAGATGAGGAGTCGGGCTGGGATATTGAATTTTAACCAGAAGTGGACCCAGCAAACCAACACCAATAGCATGTGTATTTAGATTATTACTGAAATTATGAATGCTTCTATCTTCATGTTGACATTATTGTCAACATTTCTTTTTTCCTCCACAAACACATCACTTTCCTGTGTCCAAATGACTGCATTTTAGTTTTGAGAGATCCCTGAATTTTATACCAGAAGTGTGTCTGTAAACACCTCATACACCATCTAGAGTAGACTAAATTAAAACATGCAGTATGATCAATGATTTTGGTTATAAACCTTGGGGATAAACACAAGATATAAACCTTGCATTAAGATATTAAAAAATATTCATAAGATGGTATGAATGCAATATGTTTCCTTGATAATTATGCATTACGCTACAAGCTTTAATAATTTTGCTGGCCCACTTCCAAGAAAAATAGAAAAAAGAAAACATGGACATGGACAAAAACATCTAAACTCAAGCTCAAAGAATATATTTTGTGAAAAATATTTTAATTTGACCCATCTTTTTGTACCTTTACTGGTGCTGTTTACGCTTCCTTTTTTCTGATCCTTGGAATTAAAAATTTAGTTTTGATTACATTTCCTCTGAAACTACTTCTTACATGTTATGAATTAATGCCGACCAGGGGTTTTCTTGCTCTTTTGGTTTAGGGGAGGACATTACCACAACCAAATGACCTTCCAGTTTCCTGACTTGGCTTACCTTTTTAGTTTGTTTATTGAATTGCTGAGGTGGAGTTTGGTGTACATACTGTAATTATGTCCGATTGCAGTGGAAGTACTTTACTGTAGCATGCACATGCAATATCACAGGCTTTATGATTGCACAATATTATTTGTTAATTCACTGGCCAATCTATATGGCACTGTTTTTTTTTGTTTTTTTTTTGCTTAATCTTTGTTTCTTTTTTAATTAGGATTTTGTATTTCCCTACATGTTTGTCAGTGTGTAGTGGAGAATATTAATAAAAAGTAAGACATGAAAGGTGCAAGATGTTTATCAGTGTCGATTTGACTTCTGTGCTAATGACTTCTCTAAGGGTCACTGGGTTGTGGTAAACAATGCCAAGAGGGAAACAGCCACCTTCGCTAATGACTCTCACAGTTAACGGACACCCAACACAGAGATAAGACACACTGATTTTTCCATGTCACCAGAAGTAGCATTTATCCATTAACAGTTTCATTTATACTGTTTTCATTATCGTGAATAAATATTTAGACATTTTAATATCACAAAGGCCTGCGTTTATCAGTGGGAGATATATGTATAAGAGATATATAGTCTATGAGTGTGAGAGAGGTGCAGAGACCATCGCTTTGCTGTGATCAGTGAAAGTGATCAGCTCATCTACTCCACTGACCCACCACAGGGGGAAAAAACCCAAACGTGACTGGAATAGCAAATATATCCGTTTCCCACTCGGTCTGCTATTTTAAAATTTTAAGGCAGTAAGATTAGTAGACTATTAGCCTAACTGTCATTTTGCATAACCAGACGGTGCGCTTCTGTTATCACTTTGGAGGCTACTTTTGCGGTGTGTGCCTTCCCTTAAATGAAAGGCTATATTCTACAGTTAACCCGTACGTTTATATCTCATTGGAAATTCCATCTGGTCTGGTATGTGGAAATTTTCAATTAGCTGTGTGGGTTAATTACAGCATGAATAAACCATTAGTAACCGAGCCGAAACGACGCTCTGATTGGACAGCGCTGAGGAGGCTTCATATATATTGAAGCAAAGCAGAGGTAGGAGGAGAGGCGAGGATCACAGAAGGACTGCACACCGAACACCTCATAGAGCCTAGTTTATCCGACAACATGCAGGCCAGCTCTGTTGTCTTCCTTCTCTGCGCCCTGACCCTCGCCACTGGCTTCGAGTTACTGCCCGAGGAGGGTGCCCCACGCCGAGCTCGCTTTTCCGCCAACAGCCCAAGTGAGTGTTCTAAACTTTCCACTAACTCTGCACTTTGGCGTTATTGTTTTGGCCTTCCTGGTCAGTTGTGAAGGTTAAAGGTGCACTATTTAGCCTAACATGTTTAAGTTTAATGTGAGACTGTGCAAATCCTGGTAAAGCAACACAATAGAGACGAGCAGATAGTGAAACTCACCAGAAAAGTTACACACTGCCCCTTTAAGTGATTGGTACAATAGAAATAATGCATGAGGACAGATTTCATCAGGTTAAGGCAGAAAAAAATAAATAAAAAATCAACAAAGAAAGAAAGAGCTTTTAATATTATTCAGACTTAATTGAGCTTCATCCTTAATTTTTGTTTTCAGCTGATGTGGCCAGATGTTTGAATGGTGCTGTGGCTGTTGGATGTGGATTCTTTTCCTGTCTTGAAAACTCCACCTGTGACACTGACGGCATGCATGAAATATGTGAGCTGTTCCTCCACACTGCAGCCACCTTTAACACAGAGGTCAGTCCATTCAGTCCATGGTACTTTTTTGTGTAGATGTGTGTAATCAGTGTGTTGTTATATGCTACAGGGTAAAACTTTTGTCAAGAAAAGCCTGCATTGCATTGTCCAAGGAATCAGTGCAAAAGTGTTCCAGACCATTCGCCGCTGCAACATCTTCCAAAGAATGATTGCAGAGGTATGTGAAAATATATACAACATTTTGGATTTTTGAATGGTTTCTTTACCGGCTTGTTATAACAGGTGCAAGAAGAATGTTACACCAGTCTGGACATATGCACGGTGGCCCGCACAAACCCTGATGCTATTGGAGAGGTGGTACAGGTGCCAGCTCACTTCCCTAACAGGTAACAGGTAGAAAAAGTTCAAAAGACTTTATAACAGCATGGCTACCTAAATTACACGCCAAGGCCATGACCATGAGATGGTTTTTTTTTTTAATGGTTGGTTGATATATTAAATTTCTTAAAAATGATTTTTTTCAGTTGCTTCACCTCAAAACAGCAGAGGGCAGTAACACCTAAAGGAAATTTAGAGGAAGGATTTTCAGGAAGTGGCAAAGGATAGAAAAGAGACAATATGAGTGTTTATAGTCCAAATGAAAATCTGAAATTTTTTATTGAATTTTGTATTAGCAGACATACTATAACAAACTATGAAATAGTATTAATCTGGTTATTTGTGGTTACATTGACAATGGCAATATAATGTTTCTCTTGGTACAGGTACTACAGCACTCTGCTGCAAACTCTCCAGGCCTGTGATGAGCAGACAGTGGACACAGTGAGAGCCGGACTTCTGTCCCGTATAGGGCCAGACATGGAGACCTTTCTGCAACTGGTGCAGAATAAGCCCTGTCCCACTGACTCTAACAATGCTGCCTACAACAACCCCTCCAGCTGGAGGAACATGCCTGTGTTCAATATCCAGCCGGGATTCAGGGGCCGAGACCCCACTCACCTGTTTGCCAAGAAAAGATCTTTGGATGACAGTGAGGCACAGGCTCCAGCTCAGAACTAACATCAGACCACATACATACACATACTTTTTACATTCACACATGCCATCACAATGAGCACACATATATATATGCTTTTTTAGATTGGTGTTATTTCTCACACAGTTTCCTCACTGTTTTATCCTATTTGCAAAGTCTACCCTCAATTTTGACAATTTATCATTTGTGCAGCTAAAAACTGTATGATTTGAAGCACAGTTGTTCTAGCTTGCTGTATTTTTGGTTGAAATACTGTTTTCTGTATTAGAGGTTTAATCTTACCAACAATATACTATAAGCTAATTTATTTTAATTTATAGGGCAGAGACAGTGAGTGTATTGCCCAAATTGTATGTTTAATTTGGAGAGTATATAGAAAGTTTATATTGATGAGGTTTGCCATGCTGGTCATGGAGCTACATTCTCTAACATTGATTCTGTTTTGAGAACAACTTACACCTATGCAAGTAAAATGAGTGAAGTGATTTAACCCTCAAAAGAGCCTTGAATTTTAAAAATGAGATTAAAGTTACATTATGACAAGAGACTTGTGTGCTTTATAATATATCTATGAAACACACTATAGTATAAACTCAACAAATCAATTTTATTAGTACAACTAGGAGTAAAATGCAGGTGGATGCAGTTACATGGTCTTCTATTAGCTTCATTAGCTAGATAGCAAAAAGTTTATTAGATGACAGTCAGCAGTAAATGTAAAAAGCAGGTCTTGCTAGGGTGGTGAGAAACACACCAGACCTCTCTGTATCACCTTGCCATCTGTCCACCAAGATAATGGCTGACCCATAATGGTTCGTCACCTGCAGGGCTATGGGCCATTAACTCTCACTGGGCTGAGTGTGAAAGAAAAGCAGTCAGTTTTCCCACTCCAATTGCAGGACGCCTGACCATTAGGCCAGATACCTGAGGTGTCGAGGGGACCAGCTGGCAGTGTTAACATTTCCAGGAATTACATTAGCAGCGCAATATTTACTCAAATACATTCCGGCAAATGCTAGTGGTCTTTTAGGGTCTTCCACCATCCAAAACACTTAAAAAAAAAAAGATTTTTAGATTAGTATTATGAAGCAAGAAGCAAAGAATTAAAAGAAAAATATATGCTTGCCGGATGCTGTTTTCAAGCTTCCATGATTGAATTTAGTTTTGAGTTTGTAACATAATACAGTGAACACCAGGTATGCATTCTAAACTTTAGCCAGAGGCAAAACACAGACATGACCACAACGGTAGTTTCCTGTCATGTAACAAACCATTTTGTCTCTGTTACTTCTGTAGGAACAAATGCATGTTGCAGCAATGGCCGCTTTACATCTGTCAAGCGCCATGATAGATGATACAAAGATGCTTGCCAAGTTATATTTCCCCTATAGTATATAGTAGCTTTGTCTTGCACATAACACACATGTGGGAAATAGGTTATCTTTCTGAATGAGTAGTTTGTAGTGAATGGGAATAAAACACAAATGAAATCAAACATCAATTTTAGTAGAATTTAATACTGATATTAATAAAATATAAAACTAAAAGCATTTTGACCACAGACTAGCTGCATTCATCAGTCAAGTAAGTGCAATGTTGCTGTCAAAACTAGACACAGTTACATGGAGGTTAAAACGTTAAAAGAAATTTATAGGTATAATTTATCTGATATGTTGCCAACACGCATAGGCTGCTTATAAAAACAAACAATAAAACATTCAAGTTACAAATGTTTTTGCTACAATTTTACATTCATATTCAGATATATTTTGCTCTGTACTTCAATATAATTTACCTAATTTTTGATAACTCATGAACAATTTCATATTTTATTCATTACAAAAAACATATTTACAATATATACAATGACATTTTTGAGAAATATATACACAGTGGGCAAGTCCACAAGTTGGTGGCTGAAATCAGGTTTTAATGCTCTTAATGAATGCACTGGTTTGTGTGCTTTCCCCCAATACCTCACTGGGGAGTCACCATTTTAGACAGCTGTTCTCCTCATCACCAGAACCAGAGTCAAGACGAGAAGCACCTCTCTTCTGCCACTGCACTAGCCTCATCTGAAACAGTGCTAATGTGCAGCCAAGGAAATGGGATAAAAGTGATTCAGGAAGGGTCCTGGGACTCTTATGAGGGGCTAGAGGAAAGGGACAATGCTGATGTGTCCATGCTGATTGGAGAGTACTGCACTGGAGGTACAGCAAGATCTAGATACTCCTGTCAAAAAATCAGTCCAAGGTCAGGATTCAATCAAACAACACAAGCATTGTTGATGACTGTAAATTGCTCTAAACAAAAAGTACCTGGTTGGCCATGAGAGAGAGCATGCGATCTAAGTCGTCCACCAGCTGTTGGAAAGTTGGCCTGCGCGATGGGACAGCGTGCCAACAGTCCCTCATCATATGGTACCTGATGACATGCATGAGAGGAATAATTATTACAAACACAAATGTAAATGAATATGTGCTTTTACTCTCTAAGTCTGAAACACCCATGCCTCCCTTAGCATAGGCATACTGGGCCCAGTCAAGCAGAAGTATACAGCAAGGCCAAAAATTCAAGTTAATGCATCTGATATAAAAATTTATTCAACAGATAGCATATGTACTCTAGTTTATGAAACTGTTTACCTTTTTTCTGTACCATTTTTGGTTCTAAAGTTACATACATTTTAAACAGACCATGTATGAAACATGGAACAAAAATTATTTCCCAAATTTCAAAGACCTGCAAATCATGTAAATAAATGGATGTATTTCATCATATCTTGTGTTATTCGATCTTTGAACTGTTGATGAAGGTACATGATTTTTCAAAAAAAAAATATTTAAAATGATAAAAATTAGCTTGGAAGGACTGACATATTTTATAGAAATAGTTGCCTTTCATTTTGAAGTAATATTAAAGTATTCGGAAGAAAAAAGCTGACAAATGATGTAAAATCATGCACCTTCTACTTGTTTGCACAATTTTCCCTCCGTTACCATGACCTTTCTTAATAAAAAATCTCATTACTCAAAAAGTAAGAGGTTTTTCAACCTAATCTTGTACCATATGGTAGAAAACTATATTAAGCAAATATTCAAACCAGTTTGTTAAGGATATGGAAGTGAGAACCGGTAGTTATCGCTGTTTGTATTTATTGCCCAAAAAGTGCTGCTTCATTCCTTCCGTTACCGACATGAGTTTTTTTTTTTTTTTTTGTCAACAACTTGAAAGAATATCACAGGTTTAACTTTACCCTGTTGGAGTGTTAACTCTTTCCTACATTCTAATACCTTACTTATTTCAATAGTCCCTCTAGTTTCTGAATAAGAGCTATTTGAATGTAATAAATCTGGCCGTTTCCCTCCGTTACCACTTGACTGGACCCTACTGTTAAATGTAACTTAAAAGAAGAATTTCTTCTTTCAAACATTCAGTACACAACACATATAAGCTACGAGTTACATCACCCAGAGAAACTGCATACTAAGCTAATTAGAAACATATTAACTAAATGTGTTCTTTTTAAAACAGGGTTCGAAACATTTATAATAGTCCACACTTAAGAGTCTGAATTAGACTTCTGAGAATAGTGATTCTTTTCCTCAAACCATTTGTCATTTCACATCAGTCATTCAGGACAGCTAAATGTGTAGGTGATTATCAGAGTAGCACAGGGATCTGCCACGGGCCCTGTCTACTGTTTTTAGAAAACAGCTGCTTTGAAGAATACACTGACCAACAAGTGGCTCTGCGTACATTAAGTCAGCCTGAAGCACAAAGGACAATAAACTACTCTGTATATGAGTTAGAGCCTGCCTAAATGCTAAGCTACAAGTCCTATCTTTAGAGGTGTTATCAAACTATTGTTATGCATGAGGACAGATTTGGGGGGCAGGGTGTCGTGCGCATACACTTACATATCCTGTGTACATGCGGAGGGCTTTTCCATTCGATGACCCTCCTTAAGCAGCTTAAAGAGTTCCTCCACTGGGACACCAGGGTAAGGAGACCCCCCGAGGGTGAAAATTTCCCAAAGCAATACCCCGAAAGACCACCTGAATGAGAAAACAGAAAATAGTAACAAAAGCAATATAATACAAAGAATAAGTACATTTACTGATAATGACATAAAAA